CTTGTGTCACGCCGATCAAGCAAAAAAACACTCTATCTACAAGAGTTAAGGGCTTTGCCCTAACCCTTGGAACGTCAAGATGCTGCACATTCTATTACTTACCATATCACGTTACCATTAAACACATTTTGTTTTGCTTCTTGGCCGCATTCCTCTTACTCCTAATAGCGATCGTGCTGTCGATGAATGTTTGAACTTTTGTCCTTTTTTCATTAGCGGTTATCGTCGCGGTTACGATTTTTATTAACGGAGACTTTCATTTTTAACCATGAATCATAAACCTAATTGATGAATGCGAAAGGCGAAATGACACACACACAAGAAATCGTAATAAACTGAAGTGCGACCGCAATTTCCTCTCGTCCCCCAAGAAACTTTAATAAATTGTAGAGCAACGACTGCAATCATAAACAAGAGTAGCATAGCGGTATTATGCACCCTAACCGCATAACTGTTCCCCTGAGTATTGGTTCCTGATGAACGACCCAATAAATACCCATAAGGTTATACGCGACACGTACAAAACATTCTTGGATATAAAAGCATTATCCTGTTAAGTAATTTATTTCTTTTTCAGGTAGTAAGCGAACCTTATTTTATGGTGCCACTTAAACGGTCTATAATCCGAGCAGTTAGAGTATGAAAGGGGGTGTTGGGAACCATAATAGTACTCCATAAACGGTAAAGAATTGAACTTCAGACGCAGGCACCTGTTTAAACCTGAGCAGACCATAAATCTTGTTTTTTGGGGATTTAATTTTTTTGGGCTGTGTGGAGCCGACGGATTTGAATGCATCATAATTTTTATATGTATACAAACTTTGTTGATGGTCTTATAGTTAAATTTATTAATTTAAAAACAGTTCGATCAGTACCTTTAGTCTTCTCTAATAGAAGATCATGATCGTGGTATTTTTTTTTTATATTTTCCATTCATTTTTGTTATATTGTGGCAAATTGTCATACCGTTTGGGAGTACAAGTATCTCTATGAGTTGTGAATTAGTGCTCCATTTACGAATTTATATTTTTTATATTGTATAAAAATAGGTTAAGCAGGTTACTTATATTTATTTATACTTAATTACTTATTTAATAGATACTAACGGCCTACTTACCAACATTACACCATTTATGAAATCTCTTAATTTTGATAAATAAACTCAATGTATAAATATTCAAAACCTTACTTTGTTTTATTCATTAAAATGTGTTTCTGAACATCATAAAGGTTATAAAGATTATGTTGATATAGTATATTATTATGCACACATCCGATACAAACTCATCTTTAAGTATTTACACCATTATGATTATATTTTTAGTATTAAGACGATGTACAACTTATTTCAAAATCAACTTCTCAAATGAGACAATATATCGAAAGTAAGTACACAAACTTCCACTGAAGGTTGTGACCTATCCTTATTCCTTTTCAACACAGTATGAGTCACTTTTCTCTGAATCAAAGAGAATTTCCTGCACCCAGTTCATCGTCCAATAACTGACTACCCACTCTCCACGGAACCGGTCTTAATGCAAACCTGTACAGTCACAGGTTCCTCTACTTACCATAATTTCATTTATACAGGCTTTATACATCATTAATGAACCTAGTCGTTTTTGTATTAAAGATTCCGCTTTCAATCTACTCCGATTTGAATCCGTCCCAATTACACTTTTCTTTGATTTGCAAAATCATTTTTAACATCACAATTATATCATAAAGCTTCCAGAATCAATTATAACTTTAGAGTCTACAAATGGACGTGATTCTACAGAGGATTACAGTGAAAAGTTTAAAATTTATTTACTTGGAAAGTTTCTTGCAAGACAGTCATTTAACTCTATAAATATTATGACTTTCATTTAATTCTGATCAGATATTTTTTTGTAGCGTTCTTCAAGAGAAATTGCAAAGTTTTTACGATTAACATCCTGAATGTCGATTCTGCTAAGCTAATGTAAAAATCTTGTATCAATAGTGGTTTAATAGAATTTGATTTGATACAATAAGGGTGATGACGGGGTATAGTAAACGAAATTCTATTTAGTCCGTCAGTTAGATGATCAAAAAATAATGGACACGTATTTTTTCTTTGGGCAATCAACCAAAAAATGTAAAGTTATAGCGCGTCAAAGTTTGGGAGTAGGGGCTCGTGACGTCACTTTTGAGTGAATTTTCCCTTATAAGCGTACTCAAACGTGACGTCATGCGACTTTTCAAATCAATATATCTCTGCAATGTTTATATTATGTGAAAAAAGAAAAAATACGTGTCCATTACTTTTTTATAATCTACCTGATAAACGAAGAAAAAAAATTAGTCATCATCCCATTAAATTACAAATGCATATAGATAGCCCTAACACATGAGTTGTATGTATAGGTATAAGTATGTATCATGTGTATGTATGTGTTTATGTATAAAATGCTATTTAATTTCGTTTTTATTATTCTTTGATATTTTCTCTTTTTAAGTTAATTAACTGCCGTTTTCTTGACTCTGCATGTTCTTTCCGTTTGACTGGTAGAGAATGCTGTACTAGCATTAAGTTCGCCATTTACATTGTAAAAGCAACTAAGATTAAGTAAAATAAAAAGGTATATTAATGATTAAGCAAATATATTTGTGATTTTGTGTTTTAGTTACAATAACTGTGTCAAAAATAATATACTACTTTAACTTATCAGAATCGACTCCCAGGTCGTAAAACTACTGTTATCAAACGATCCACTATTCTAGTGGTATACTTTGGTTAAACAATATCAGCTACTAACGGACGCTGGTTGCAGTAACAATACCCGCAAATTGGGTTAGTTAGATTGCACCCACTTATCTTCTAAGGCGAACCCGTGCAGCATCATTATGTTTATAACTATCACACTTATCTGAAACCACATGGTACAGACTCCTTTTATTATTAACCCATAATTCCCTTTAGTCTCACAAAAGAAATAGATTTACAATTTCGTGTTCCAATTAATTTTACAGAATTATTAAATGACACATTTAATACGTTTTTAATCCTTTTTACAGTACTTTAAACGTACGTTTTGCATCCTTTTCAGGATATTTCCTATCATATATATATATATATACCCGTTCATTTTTTTTTTTTTATTTAATGAGGGGTGTGCGATAAACATAAGAAACATATTTACAGAATTATTCATAGGATTTCCTCAACGAGCTTTTCCAGTAATATTTATGTATATTGAAATTATAGATATCCACGTGGTTACTTATCTACCCGTTTATATCATCACGTAAACCCTTTATTTAGCTGCACATTGTGGTCGATTTAACCACTGGTTCGGACTGGTGTATCGCGTTACTCAGGTGTTGATATCCTCAAAGCGATGTCCATCGCATCAAACTCAATAACTATCACGTTCAAATTAACTCACTTCATTGAATCGGGCTACGAAGTGTTTGGATTACTGCATTGTTTACACATTATTGACATATGTATCTCCTCGTTATTGTATTAATGGATTGTGTTTATCATTGCTTCAGTTCTAAATAGTGTTTAAATCATTTTGCTATTAATTTTCATAAGCTTTAACTTTCTTCTTTTATGTTTTTTGGGTTATGTTGGATACCTTATACCGAAACAATCAAACAGCATCTTTATCATTAATCTTCTTTAATAACGATCTTTAAAATAGTCTAAACAACATTCATCATTTACGCAAACTGCAGAATTTAGCATTTTATATTTTATATTGTTGTTATGAAATTTAGAATTTTTTCAAAAGTTTTTTGTTCTGTCACTAATAAATAAAATATACTATGTTTTATTAACAATTGTATTAACGTAAAAATATTAAATATCGGTCAATAGTTCAATAAAGTTCATGACGCTTAGACTATTTTGATGAGTGTATGAAAAGAGATATGCAAAAAATAATCATAAATGTGCATCTAAGTAAGCGTAGTTTTTAAATGAGAACTTGTTTTAAATTAAAAGAGATCGTCAAAAATACATACAGTCAACGGAATCTATTAAAATCCTATCCAGTTAAGAAAAGAAATAACACAATGGCCGGATCCACATCCGGAAATGCACCCAGTAAGTTCGTGCGCCCGCCGCACTACGACGTCAGCTATTCTAATTTGGAGCTGTTCATTAATCGATTAGTGCCATATACAATTCCATTGGCCATATATTAGTAACGCTGGTTGTATAGCACTCTGTAAAATAGCTGCAAGTTATCATGAGATTACAGCATTACATAAGTAAGGTAAGAAACATAATTTGCTAAATATAGGTAATTAAAGAGTAAATAAACAAAGGTCATTGATAAATATTTTTTGACAGCAATACGTTCTCTTTGTGTTCCGATATCCAAATTACCTCTAGTCGTAATATTTCAGATTAACAATTTTTTGTTAAACTTATAGAAAGACTAGTGGGTTCCCCCGACTTTGCTTGCTTGGAAAAATTGGTTCCTATACTTACTTCCGCCCCAGTATTCACCCTTTTGGAGGATTATGATGATGGGATAATTATGTCCTTCCCCGGGACTCAAACTATATACCATTTTTCATGTAAATTGATATTTCTAATAAAATACCCGCACTTGAGTTACTTGTTTTCGTAATATATGGTTATCGAAATGAAAATGAAAGCATCAAATGTATTTATTAATGAAACCTTCAAAAAATAATTGTTGCCTCTGTGTAGTCGTTTATCTTTTATATATTTTATAATCACAAAGATGATTGTTCGTGGTCGTAGTCCTTCTAAGAATACCTTTAACGAGACCTTTGTCACCCCTTACTAACATTGTCAGTGTGTAGTTGCATCTTTGAGCTTACAGCGAACATTAAATCAACATTCAGAAAGATCTCACGTAAAGGATTCCATAATGGCCCATAAGTCATACTCATAACCCAAGATAAGGCAGTTCATTACTATGCCAGCCATCTACACGCACAATAACAGGCATACCACAAAGCGCCGCAACAGTATTGACAAAGTTCCATCCGGTACGTTAAGCATCGCGTGGCTCGCTAATCCGAGCGTAGGTAACATTGCAAAACGCAGAACAAACTGCTCCGCTTTGTATACCTCTAATGAGAGCCACGTGGCTGTCCCCCGCAATGCAGACTGCACAATAAAACAATAGCTCCACAGTTGTGCACTCCTACTTCATTCCTACAGGACTAACTGTCGCGTGACTTTGACTCGTTACCCGCAAACCATAAGCCACTATTCTACGAGCCGTTCTCCCGAGTCTATTTACGAACATACGACACAACATTAACGAAATTCATGTCAGACGACAGTTAATCTTCGGAAGTTATTTCAATTTTTATTTCCTCGCTTTGATTTATTTCATCAAACTTTATCCAGAACAAATTTGAGCAAGTTTTATTTGAATTTGTTATACTCGTCGCGCACAGTAGTACTGTAACGATTCGTTTGTTTTCGTTTTGCTAAGATCCTGGAGCGGCTGGAGTCTCCTTAGCAACGCCCGCTGTGTCAATCACATCGATGAACTTTGAAATCTTCAACAAACAGATGACTCGGTCAGTGTTTTTGCTTCACAGTTTGTTGATATCGAGCATCCAAACCTGGATTTTTGTTATACATAACAATAACAAGCTGGCGTGTTTTCACCCGAGTAAACCTAACCTTTCTCACTTTACCGTAACGACTCTCACTAGTCTTATAAGAACCGGATTGGGGTTTTATAATGATCCTATTCAAATATGTCCACTCTCTTCATGTTTTCATCGATGCATCGTGACACTTTTGACACAAACACGACAACTTTTGAAAGGGGCTGTTTGTCCGCGGGTTGTCACCAAACAATACAACGTAAACATTCATGACGTCGATGACGCATCTCCGATATGGGTTCGGGCTCCTGCCCTGGCTGAATTGGAAGGGTCACCGAGGCGATCGTTGCACCGAGTTCACTAACACCGTTCCTGGTGACGACTCACCTAGTTGGGCGAAGACCTTGGGCCTGACGTTCTCCTGCCAGGCGGCGGCGGCTGCGGCGAGGAGTGCCGCGAACAGGGCACAACGTAGCACGAGCATGGCACTAGTCACAAGTCGACATCACTTGGTATGAGGTAACACACGCGGCGCGCGGCTGAGCGCTACACAGGCGGGCGGGGCGCGCGGCGGCCGGCGGCGGACTGGCGGGCCGGGGGTGGCCGCCGCGCCTGCGCCGCCGGCGCCCCGCGGTCTCGCATGCGTGGGGCTGCGGAGTGCGGCTCTCGCACGTGACGCAACCCTCCTCGCCCCAGCGCACCCTCCACAACGCCGCGACGAACGAACGGAGCGCCGACCCTGCGACGTCATAATCGTTTTAAAAAATCCGCCTGCATATCCTAATGAACGCCGCCTAAACCTGCAATTATACTCTTTGTTTATAAGCGATTTTCGTTGCATAAAATATTCGTCAGCTCCCGGATCGTGACTGTTCAGCGATACGTCAAGTCGCAATTACGAGTTCGATGGGGATGTGGGGCCGAACCGCGAAATCTCCCATTACTTTCCCCTTCCGAGAAAAAATCAGAACTCGAGCTTTGCCTCTAATTGACGTAGGTGTACGCTTCATAATGACCGAGTCGAGGACCAGCAATTAAATTCATTATTTGTCTCGTTAAACTTTTGATGTTATTGTTTGCTCATTTAATTGTCGCGTGAGAGTGTTTATTCAACAGTTTCGTCAAAGCGAGTACAACAAAATATTTATAACTGAAATTCCTCTACAAAGCTCCTATGCATCTTTAATGCTTTTTAGCGGCAATCTTTCTATTTTACTGGCGATTATAACGTTAAAAATCATAGTATAAAGATAACACTGTGGTAGAAGTTACTTATGTATATTTTAATTACACACATCATAAAATTAATCAGGCGTAACTAAAATGCATAAAGTTCAACAAAAGCCAATGCAAACATGAACGCACTTCGACAAGGTTCTAAATAGCCGACTACGAGTTATAGCTGAAGCAATATCGTAACAAAAGGCTTTTTAAAGCACTGGGGTTCCGCCACGGTTCCACGGGCATTCATTATTATTAATTGGTTAAAGTTGCACCCCAATGATATTATTCTAACGATTTGGAACTTTTTCATTGTAACTACTGAGTCCGGCACTAACCAATATGCGTTGCTGGTCCGTGTGAAAATCGATAATATAAACATTTATAGCGAATTATGTAACATGATATTTTATATTCTCATGGTGCTTGGTCCAGTCGGATTCCGATCACAAACGTCATTCATTTAAGCTCATTGAGGAACTATGTACTGAAAATATTAAAAACATCACCAATAGCATAGACCAATATCATGGTGCATGCCAATAGGTAAATTAGATTATTTTTTTCGTTTTAACAATTAATCTGATACTTCTTCTTGAAAGTTGATCATCATTATCAGCCTATTATTTTCCCTACTGCTGGAGCACAGGTCCTCCCTACCCTATATATGGAATAGGAAGATTTTGTCATGAACCAACTCGTAGGCCTAGTGCGGACTTCACTGGATCGGTGTGGAGATCCTTGGGGGAAACCTATGCCCAGCAGTGGGCATCATACAGCTGAGATGATAATAAATAAGTGCAGATGCAGCTGGGGCCGGGACCAACGGCTAATCGTAGCTTTCGTGGAGGAACTCGAGATAATAAGTTTTTGTCACCTAACCAATGACGGCCCATTGCGTTCACAGACCCAACGCACTTATCGAGCTCCTAAGCTTTATAGTATTTGCAATACATGCCGAGAACAAAAAAACTATGGATTCGTTGTTTCTATTCTTACAGTGAAGTGAAACAAGAGCGGATCGGATCATTATTAATTTAATTAAATAATATAAAATAATCATCAAAAATTGGTGTCGTTCTAAAAAACCACGTTTTTGCAAGTGAACAATAGGGTATTTGACAGTGTTAAAAATTAAGTTGCAATTGTTAGCATCTGTGTTTAGAATAAATATTGGCGGGGGTTTTTACTATTTTTACAAAAAATATATTCATAATTTTACTAAAAACTAACGAGAAAGATAATAGTTTTCTTATCTTTTGTCACGTGGCCCAAAACACTTGGGATTGGCGGAACCTAGAATGACGTCACACGCAAGTAAACTTCCGGTTAAAGTGTCATTACAATGTATCGTTTGACGTTTTAATAACAGTCGTGTGACTTCACACACTAGTAAGACGCCATATTGTCCAGAGAAACGTTTTCGCGGCAACTTGAAAACGGAGTTTTTGATTTGGTCAATTTTACTGAAATACACAACAGAATGATGAATATCTACTTTTTACGGACTCCATAAATATTAGTCAATAAAGTAAGATCGTTTTCTAAAATTTGTAAAATACCCTATTTAATATCATTAATAAAAAAAGCCTCGACTGAGAATCGAACCTTGGCCTCCCACGTAGCAGGAATGTTTTCTACTACTGACCCACGGATGACTGTTCATAGAATCTGAAATGTTTAATAACAACTAAAGATGTAATGCTTTATGCTAAAGATGAACGAACAACTTTGTAGCGATGTAATAAGTTTTACTTTAAAGTATTTTATAAAAGACTACCTTTCTGAAATACTCGCTAGAACGCTTCCTTTGGCGGAAGCCTTATGTGTTATGTGAACTGTATTGAGGTGGAAGTTAATGCGTGCCACCAAATAAACTTAGTAATATTTACATAGCTCAACGCTTCTACACCGCTCAGGTCTGGTGTACTAGGTGAAATGCATGAAATGCATTTAAAAATAGCGAAAGTTTTCAAATGTCAACATTCAAGTTGGAATCTTCTTGGTTTATTTCTATCTATATCTTATGTTCTGATATCAAATAACGGTTTTATATTTATTTAAAGCGGGAAATATTGACATTATCCTCAAAAAAAATATAAATGATCACGATTCATGACGAAATACAATTGGTAATCTTAAGTGATTTCTGAATCTTAATCTATGTTATTATGAATCTTAATGAATGTGTGTATCTATAGTGAATCTTAATCTATCTTAATATGATTAGTTTAGGTTACCAATTTCATTTTTTCAGGGTCAGTGATTTTGTTGCAAAGTAGAGAACTTTCCTAATTTTTTTTCTGTGATAGTTTGGAGTGACATTTTACACTGATTATAATTTCTACCTCATTATGATGAAATTGATAATTTGCTCTGTTTTTAACATGTTGTATGTGATTTCATAAATATCAAAATAAATTATTTATATGAACACAATTCAGGATTACACACAAATGAGTTTTATGAGGGAAGTTTTAAATGGAACTATAATTCTATTTAGAAAAATATCAACCCTTGTACACTTTGTTGCCAAGTAAGTGACTTTAACGGCCCTTTTTACTGTCAGAGCGGGTGGTCCCTAGCGACTTACGTACATCTATACATAGGTAAGACGAAAACCTTCGAATACGCTACCCTTACGGTTATGAATACTATTTCTCGCTAGCTCCCACCCGCGACTTCGTCCGCGTTATGATTAGCTTTTTTGGAATTCCACAAGATGCTAACATTTTCGGAATAAAAAGTAGGTAGATAACTTTTGTGTCTTTTTTTATAAACTCAGTACATTTATTCAGCCGTTAAAATAGTTCAACCGTTTTAGGTGAAAGAGGAACAATCATCCATACAAACGTTTGCCTTCATAATACAAGTGGGAAGGAAGTGGGACGAAAATGTTATTTACTATCGTTTGGTCCTATACCATGCATGCATTAAAAGGTTGATAATGATCATTAGACTGATGTATTTTTAGCTTTATATCGGCAAAAAGAATCCGGAAAACGCACGGTGTAATTCGAAAATTACTGTACCCTTAGCACGAACCAATATCGAATTCGTATCGTTTGAGAGTCCGAAATGTCATTGTCAAATGTGTACTGATTTTTACTTCTCGGTACGTACTTTGTGCCGCTGCTGTTCAAATTTCCATACAAAATTTGACATTGACATTTCGGTTTGCAAACTATTCGATTTCGATAATGGTTCGTGCTAGAGATACTGCTTCTCTGTCTTACTTTGTGATGACAGACCGTCAGGTCATTGCCAACAGTACCCCTAGCACGAACCATTATCGAATTCGAATAGTTTGCAAACCGAAATATCAATGTCAAATTTTGTATGGAAACTTGAACAGTAGCGGCACAAAGTACGCAACGAAAACTAAAAATCAGTAGACATTTGACAATGACATTTCGGACTCGCAAACAATACGAATTCGATACTGGTTCGTGCTAGGGGTACAGATCCCTATATAGTACCCAAGCAGCATATATATATACAGGCCGTCCCACGGCTACCTCACACGGAGGGAAAGTATATTAAATATTAAAGATGGGATATTTTACTGAAAGAAGACATCATTTCATTTTTAATAATAACTAGAACTGCATTCACAGTTTTTTTTTAAATCGCCTGCTAAAACGGGGAATCAAACTCGTGAAATTTCGAAAAAAAAACAGGACATATATGATATGACCAACCATCGAAAGAGTTAATCATAACACTTATTTTTTGCTAAATAAAATAGCATTTAAAATGGAAGAAAAGTCATAAAATTAATAATAATAATAATAATATTCTTTATTGACATACACCTCACAGGACATACAAGACATTAAACATGACAGTGAAAACGTACACAATAGGCGGCCTTATTGCTAAACAGCAATCTCTTCCAGGCAACCCATGACAGTGAAATAAATAAATAAGAGGAACAAGAAGGGGGGGGTGTAGTAGGTATGGTAAAATAAATAATGAATAATAGATGTAATAGATATATACAAAGAGAGAGACAAGAGAGAGGTAAGACTTAAAGTTGGGAAAGGAAATAACCTCTAACTTGATCACTAAACGAGCTTAGAGTACGAGCCTTTCGGATTGTTTCAGGTAGTGAGTTCCACAAGCGAACAGAATGCACAGAGAAGGAATATGAAAAGAAATCAGTTGAATGGAGTGGGACTGCAAGGGTTAGATTTGAAGAGGACCGCAAAGTGCGTTCTGATTTGGAATCAAGAAACGAGAAACATTCTTTTAGATAGGGCG